AACAATTCATATTTCATTCATTAGTTTGTTAATTATAAATAGTTACTGATAATGGATAAAGGTCTATTAATTTCTAAACTATAGGCTACCTTAAATATAAATTCCATTTTATTAAATGAGCAATAGGTTTGCCTTTCTATGAATCTGAAATGTAATATTAGGGTCTAATATTAGAGATTAAGGCATTGTATTGGAGTCCCTACCTGCAAGTTCAGGACCTAATCCTGTTCTTGAATGTTCTTGTTGAAATTCACAGGGATCAATAATGGAATTTAAACCAACCACAGGCTTGTAGACAGTGTCTGTGTCCAACCCTTTGGCTAGAGAGATCAAGTACTTACCAAGTACTGACTCAAGTCAGGCAAGAATAGTGATTGGAAAGACTTTGGGGGATATAAACATGGGAAAAGCCCATATGGTTTAATGCCGGTGTTACATGAAAAATGCAGATCAAATTGATACTAAACTGAGAAATTTGCAGTTGTCACCATCCAGCTGCTGGGGTAGCATTTCTTTTTAAGTCAGATTTAGGACATATAGTTGCAATAACAGGATGGTTTTGATCCCATCCAGCGTATTTCAGAAACAGCACTGGGGAACTCTCTGCTGTGGGTTTTTAGCACTGGCAAAGTCAGAGTTGTTCTTTGATACTCAAAGCTCATTAAGCCTCTTGATCTCGTTTAACTGACTGTAATGACGAGACAGATGAAGCCTAGCGAAAATGGAGATTTAAAGGAAAGCATTAGGGATAACAGTGTTACTGCTACATCAATAAGAGAACATTTCCTCCTGTCAAAGCCGATGTTGATGTATGAAATAATTCCCTCAAGCTTTTTGTTTCCTAAAGTTTCAAGCTCTTGGATTGCTGGGCAAGTTCTCTGCCCAGGAGACAGCTGGGCAGCTTTTTCCACACCAGCCTGTAATCCAAAGCACCAAGATGAAGGCAGGAGCTCCTGAGCTGCCAGTCAGGTCCCATTTGAGGCATGTTGCTGTTCTCCTGCTTGTGGGATTGGGATTATGGAGCTGCAGGATCCAGAGCAGGTCAGGGTAGGCTTGCCTGGTCTGTTATGTGTTGCTGATTTTACCTGCTGCTCCTTCTCTTCCTAATCCTTAAATAAAGAATGCTTTTCCCTTGGCTGTTTGTTTTCAAACTTGGAAAATTCATATTCATGCATTAAGGAGCGAAATGAATATATATGAAGTGGTAGAGTTGTCTGACCATAAAAGTAAGTGTGCTGTTGGCTGGCTGCATCTGTCAGCAAGCAGGGAGTGCAGACAGGAGTCAAGTGATTCAGCCCACTGGATTTTGCTGATCCTTGGCATGACCCATTCCTGTTTCTTCAGTGTGCCTTTCAGGAAAGGGGAATAAATCACTTCAGCAGCAGAAATACCCTAAAAATACTATGCTTGGAAGGGCTTGTTATGGCACTCAAAATTTGAGAGGCACAGAAAGGGTGTATTTGGCTAAAGAAAAGAGAAGCTTAAAGGTCCAGGTTGTCCAAAGTAAATTACTTTATGCCTGTAATGCAGGGCAGGGAGCCACTTTCTAATAGGAAAAAAATGTCACCTAGAAAGTGGGCTAGAAGTACTAATTGTATGTTAGAAATGCATAATACTGCTCTTGTTTAACCTGAGTCTTTTCATATTGACAGAAATTTGGTTGGGTCTTTTTCCCTTGCTGATGAAGAGCGAAGCTATAGTGATGAGTATTTGTACATTAATTCCTGGAAAGATCAGAAACTCCTTTTAACCAATTTCATCACTGTTTCACTTTCCATTTATTAAATATTATTATATTGAGCTTCATTAAAGCAGTCATTCCTCCCTGGCTGTTGGTACCATTCATAAAGCATCTGTGAGATTAAGTTTTTTGTACAATTACTTATCTCTATAAAAGTCAGAGTCTGTATACTATACTTTTCCCTAGATAATATATTTAAACTTTTTCTTATTTTGGGGCAGGTAAAAGAATACTTCTAAGTCCTGTTTGTTTTTCACTGAACGTGCTTGCAGAATTCTTAGCAGTCATGAAGCTAGCAAGGCTTTTAGTGTAAATTTTGTAATGGTTTTTAATATGAAAAGTTAGATCAATTACACTTAGGCCTAGTACAGTTGTTTGAACTGCAATGTGTCATTGTAGAGGAGAGGCCAGTATTCTTGGGTTCCACATTGTGTGGATGTGATAGCACAATAAATTCCAATAACTCTGAATACTGTTACAGTTAGGTACAGGATAATATTTCCTTGGTCTTGTTTCCCATTGAGTAAAACATTGGAAGACTTCTTTTAGGAAAATGTGCCCTCATTATATTCTTCTTTCCCATAAAGCAAAAACCTGCAGCAATAATAATGTATTCATAAGGGCAAGATAGTTTCTTAAAGCCAAGCAGGCGAAGTTTGAAGGGATGGAGAGGAAGGAAATGAAAGCAATGGCTGGAGGTTTGTGGCACCAGGAGCTTTGAATCTCCTCTGTGCTAACCAATGGAAAATTACAAGGGTTTTTTTTCATTTATTTTAAATGTGTTTTTCTCCACAGACTTCAGAGGCTAGTGCCTTTCCTTGTTCCTTCACCTTGCTGTTGCATGCAGGACTTCAGGCATCATTGGTTTTGGCATCTTTTCTGAATTAAACTTTCCTGGGTAGAGGATATTGTGTGAAATAAAAATAAGATATAAAGCTTTCAAACTGTGATTACACAAGCCTGTTTCAAAATACAGAAGTCTATCCTGTGTTGTTCTGGCATGTAAGAAACTTGTCTTATTGGTATGGGGGTAAAAGTCATTGTTTATGGCTGTGCTTTTTCACAGCCATGAACAATGGACTTGTTTAGAAAAGTGTCATGATCTAGTTGTCAGAGGTGCTAAAGCCATCCAGCTTCCATTGGCTCATGTGAGATTTATCAGTGCTTGAAACCAGTTTCAATTTGCGCTCCTGCAGTGTTACTCTAATCTTTTAGCTTGCTGGGCTTCTGTGTAGAAGATGAAATTCGCTGATTCTGGTGAAAAGGCATTGATTTCAGCATGGCTAACTCTTAAGAGTACTACATTAATTTCCACGTGTTCTGAGTGATAGGTATGAAAAACAATCTATTTCAGCTGTAACAGATCTTTTTGTATCAAAGGACCAAGATGCCAGGAATCTGACAGCAAAGCCAGCAACTCCAGCACGTGCAAAGAGTTTTCATACAGAAACTTGTGCAGACAAGTAGCTGCAGTAAAGCAATTACTGCATGTACATTAGATGTTTTTGCAAAATACTCTTTGCGTGTTTGTAGAACACTATGGTCTGAAGCCATTTTTCTCTTCTTCCCCCTTATTTTGGTAGCTTAAGGAAAAAACATATTTTTCCATGATAAAATATTTATAAACTGTCAAACACAGGTTAGAATGCCAAACCTGAGGCAAATTCTACCTGCTACAGTGCAACTCTTCCTTGTGCTTTTTACACTCTTTGTTTATGGGTTGGGAGAGTCCCCGTGGATTTGCTGGATGGGGAATAGACTTGATGATCTTGGCAACCTCTTTGTTAGACTCTACAGAGACTCCTGGGTTGCTGCTGGGATGGCTCTGTACAGATTTATACACTAATAAGTCAGCAGATTGGACAAGGCTTCCCAACTGCTCACCATCCCATTTTTATAAATGTAGGAATCAAATTTGGGTTGGGTAAAGGACATGTGCACAGTGAGATCTTGCCAGCAGAGACACTGCTGCCTGCAGCTCGGAGCATCTCCTCTTTCCTGCTGTGGGTGAGGGTTGTCTCACTATCAGAGAGAAAGCTGTGTGCTTTCTTAAGCCAAGGAAGGTGTCCTGAGTATCTGGACATTATTCTGTGGCCTGCTGTCGATTTGCTAAGAGTGGCTAAGGCATTGAGGAGATACAGTCCTGTCAGCTGCTGTCTCTGTGGGGTATGGTGCTTGTCCAGCAGCCTGCTGGAAACAGCGACCCTGGTGCTGGGGTTGTTGGAGCTGTTTCAGTCTCAGGTGTGTGAAAATCCTCACAGTGTGTTCACCCAGCTGCCAGTGCTGCTCACCTACACCTGCATGAGCTGATGAACTGATGGTGGTAACACAGGGCTCGCTCCGTGCCATCTCTGTGCAATTTAACATTAATTGTTCATTTGTCTAAACCAGAAGGTAAGAAATGTGCTGTCTTAGCAATTTCTGAGGTGCCATAGGTACACCTGGCACTTACTAATGCCTAAGAAGGCTGAAAAAAACTTTTCATCCATGATGATTTCTCTAAGTTGTGGAATACTTTAGGTTTGTTGTTCATTGACAAAGTCTAGAGATTAAGTCAATGTGATTTTTACGCATAACTTGTAAAAGTTTTGAAATTTTGATTGTGTTGTAGCCCATGCAGAAAAATTCAGGGCGTTACAAACCATGTATATTTTGGGCAAGAAGGGAACATTAATGATAGGACTCACAAATATTTAATTACTTCCATATAGGTATCCTTAATGAAAGTTAGGTTTTCTTTGTTGCTATCTTATTGCAGGGGTTGTTGTCTCCTTATTGCAAAAATTTCACACCTTCTTGGTGTTTTCTCATGGGCATCTCCTCAGAGTACTGACTCTTTCTTCTTCACAAAGCAGACAAGTGATTCCAGTTCCCTTCTCAACACCAACCCACTCTTCTATAGCACTCTTCTTCTCATTGGGTACAGCTGTCATTTGTTCCTAATCTTTGATAATTGGCTCAGCTGCAACTCCTTAGGGGTAAGATTACTTTCCAGACTATCTTTATTTTCTTATATTCTATCCCCCTACATTTCTTTAAGTATCCTTCATCACATTTACGTTGAAATTCAAGCCTTGGTGATGGGAGAGCGTGCAAAGTGAAATGGAGAGCCCAACGGAGGAGCACTCCGACATAATCAAGAGTGACGTTTTGCTTGCTTCTAATTCCATGTAACGTAAAAACAGGGAAACCCCGACACAGGTGCTGTTATGACGTGTGGATTTGTGCTGTGATACTGAGCAGGGTGTTTTGTCCCCAGGTACCTGACGGACGGCGGGCTGGGGCTGTACACGCGGCGGCTGAACCGGCTGCCCGACGGCATGGCCACGGTGCGCGAGACGCTGCAGCGCGGCACCGCCCTCCGGCTCGGCGACGCCGACAGGTAGGGAGGGAGGGGGCTGCACGAACCCTCGGCACCCGGGTGGGAATTTCTCTGGGCTGTTGGAAAAGATGAAATTTTGGCAAGAAAGTTTCACGGAAATGTGTGCTTGGTAGAAAGCTCTCTGAATGTAGAGCCTGAGAACGGTGTTGTCGTTGCAGGGGTTCCATGCTGTTGTCTCCTTATCACAAAAGTTCCATGCCCTCTTGGTGTTTCTCATGGGCAGCTCCTCAGAGCACTGACTCTTTGTTCTTCACCAAGCAGAGAGCACACTCCAGTTCCCTTCTCACCCAGCCACCCCATGCTTTTATAGCACTCTTCTTCTCACTGCTTACAGCTGTGGCCTGTTTAAAGTCAGGCCTGCTCCTAATCTTTGATAATTGGCCCAGCTGCAACTCCTTAGGGGTGAGATTACTTCCTACACTATCTTTATTTACTTATATTCTATCCCCATACAGAAGGGAATAGAGGTGGAAGCGGGTTTTGATGTAGAAGAATAGTAGATGTCTAAATTGACAATTGTTGGACTGATGCAGTTAGTTTGGGGGAAGGCCAGGGCATCCCCGGGGACCCCCTAAGCTGTGTGTTCCCTGGTAGCAGCAGGCAGGCAAGGAGACTCCGCACAGCTTCTGAGGGTGCTCATTAGATGAGGATTTATTGGGGGTCCCACCCCTGGGAGCAGCCTGGCTTCTGAGGGAAAAGGGGGGAATGGGATGGAGGGGGAGACAGGGAGAGCCAAGGGGAAAAAGGGCCAGGAGAGCCTCTGTGGTCTCCCCCCACAGCTTAACAGGGACGTTCAAAGTGGGCACAGAATAAGACTTGGGCCAATGGGATTGCAGATCCATGATACTTCGGGGGAGGATCACAGGCTTGGAACAAACCCTACATTTCCAAGGGGTGAGACAGAGCAAACCATTTAACTAACACATAACACCACAATTAAGAAAGCAAAGGCTAAGTTGAGTTGGAAGGAATCCCCTCTGTTTTATGACTAGAGCAAAGGATATGTTGGCCACTACCAAAAAAGATGTTTTTACCAAGCAGAAATAGGTCTTAGGAAAAGCAGAAAGATACCACAAACAAACATGCCAATATGTCGAGCAGAAGAAAGGTCGAAGAATTTTCCACTGCAAGAAAATTGAAAAACTACTTTAAGCTTAAACTGTAACATACTAACTCATGTGATTGGATAATATTGACCATAATATGGTATTGATGGTGGTTATGATAGGCTGTAGGTAATAGCAAAGGTGTTGTAGATGATGCTGATTGGTTGTTATGTATTAGGATGCTCAGCAAAGAAATATAAATGATGCATTGTAACCAGAACTAAAGGGTCTTCAGGCTTGCCTGTAGCTGGAGCTGACAGCTGTAGGCATGGCTCTGTCACCCACGGCCCTGGACTGCTGTACACAATAAACAGCATTTTGAAGAGCTGCCTGGGGTCCCACATCTCTCATCTCAGGCTCTTACACCCAAGTATTTTAGGTTTTGTGTTCATAGAGGTGTCGGGAGAAATGCTGGTTTTGTGTCTCCTGGGTGCTTTGCTGGAATCTCCCCAGTGTTTTTGTGGATGGGACACAGCACAAGAAAGTGTTGAACTCCTGTTTTAGTAGTGCTTGAAATAGAAATGACCGAGTTCTCTACTCATGTCCATTGATTCTCCTCCAGTTCCAGTGATTCAATGTGAACAGTGAAGGCCAAATGTCAAGAATTAGAGGACTGGAAATCCATAATTCATGGGAGTGCAGTCACAAAGGAACCCAGTGAAATATTCTATTAATGTTGATATAAATGGGTTAAATACTGTTGCTTTTAACAAGGTCAGCATATGGCTGCTTCTTCCCTTCCATAGCCTGATCTGTGTTACTGCTGATGCAGTAAGTGACCTGTATCCTTTTTCTTCCATGAGGGGCCTCTAAGTATAAAAAATGACTTTTGAGGTGCATGCTCAAACCAATTTTTGAATTAAGAGGTTTTTTTCTTTTTGCTATCTCTAAGTCATTACCAGGACATGACTGAGCTTGGTATTACTGATACTTTATTCACTGTGATGCATATATTACTAAGGAAACACAAGTGATGGAGAATCTAGCCTTGTTTTCTAAGCAAACTAAATCTAAATCTGCCAAGATTTAGAACTAAATCTGCTTTGGTGTCCTTGTGATATTAGCAAAGAGCAGGATGTCAAATGTAAACAAAAGAACTAAAACCTCTCAGAGAATCCCAGCTCAGTTTGAATTACAGGTCAACATATGCTTGCCAGTTGTAAAATATGCCTGGATTTTTCCAGGAGCTCATATCTCTTTCTGAAATTTGCAGCTTGAAACCCAACCAGCACTCACTGCTGTCCTATGGGTGAGGGTGTTGCCGCCTTGTGATGCAGCTGGAGAGGAATCAAGTGTCATCTTCTTCTGCTGCTGTGGCTTCTGAACCAATATTGCCACAGTAGCAAAAGCATCTGTTTAAAATTCAGCGTTTGTCTAAGATAAAGTATATTGTTGTTTAAGTAACAGCTTTTCTGGAGGGTCAGTGATAGGAACCAATTCCTGTCATTGGTTCCTTCCCTCATCCAATATTTTCTGTGCTTGCAACACTTCTTGTTTGCTGAGCTCCTTTCCTGAAGATGCCACACATCAGGCACCAATTAGGAACATTTGACAAGAGGGATTATTTGTGTTTAAATGTACTACACCTAGAATGGGGCTGAAGTGCAATCCCTAGGTTGTCATTTGTTTCAGCTTTGAAAACCATCCTTTCTGTTCGCTTGGAGGGGGACAGACTTTACACACAATGAACACTCTGTGTGGCAGAAAAATTACCCTTGGTCCCAGAGCTAGTAATACTATGATGTGTTGCTTTGATTATTTAGTCTTTTCCATTTAGAATATAATACCTTATGTAGGAGATGAGGGGTTTCTGACAGTAGGGCAATGATTTAAAAAGAGCTCCTCTTTGCTTGCTGGGTGACCATGATGTGCAGTTTAAACAAAAAATTAATCTTAGTTCAAGGTGTTTTCTGGGGTGAAAGTGGGCATCAGGAAAAGGAGTTGAATAAAACTGTGCATAATTGTTTTCTTCATTCTGTGAGGCAGTGAGCAGAGGTGCTGAGTTGCTTTATTGGTACATGCAGAAAACATATTAAGATTCAATTTAACTTGTTCAAAGCAGATGTTAATTGAATGCATGGGAGAACAAGTGTGAAAGACTGTGAACCTGTGAGCATGAGGTTAATCATTAAAAAGTTATCAGAAGAATTTTTGCAATATGCTAGCAACTTCAGTTTCTTATCCTATTAGTTGTAGAAGTTTAGTTGTGAGGCTTTTACTCATTGGCTCAGGTAAGGTAAAGCACAGATCTTACATTTTCCCCTGCAGCAGGGAAATCCAAACAAGGGCATTGAATTTAATGCTTGGTTGCAAGGTTAATGGAATCATTGCACAACACAGCTGAGCTTACTTTCTGACTTCAAGAGAATTTCAGTCTGCCTAGAACAAAGGCATTTAAAATTTAAAAAGGCTTTAAAATACCTTTTTATTTAGTTTGTGATTGTTTTTTTAATTTAGTTTGGGATTATTTTTTCAGTGTTGGAAATAAATATCCTATTGTTTTGTCCATTCTGTATATATGGACATGGCGTGTGCCATCTGGTTATTTAAGTTGATTTCACATTGTCAGACACAGCTGCTCCATCTGAGACTAAATCTGGCCCTTGCCTTCATATATATAGCTTGAGTTTGTAATATGTGTAGGTAAATTAGATCTGAATTAATCTTTCTGTAGTTGCTTACCTGTGTAAGCTGTTATTTAGAGGAGGTTATTCAGACCTGATTTATCACAAACCTGCGGCTGGGACAGGAGAGTCTGATGTGAGCTTGTCAAGAGTAACTTTAATGCTATGAGGGAAGTGTCTATATGATCTTTTAAAAATCATCACTGATGAAGTGCTTAAAAACCTACTGCTGAGCACGATTAACTTTGGCTGCTTCCCTTTTAGAGTTCCATTTGAGGGTGCATGCATTACCTGGCTCTGCATAAAGCCACAGAAAGCTTTTCCCAGCTCCTGATTGTAATGACTTGTCAGGAGTGGATTGTGTTGTCTTGGTGCTTCCAGCAGCTACAGCATTGATGGACTGTAGGTAAAACAGTAAAAACAGTGCTGAGCTTGCTCTTCAAAAGTGTGTCTGCTTCCTGATCACATCTGATGAATGCAGCTTGGTTAAAAGCAAGCCCACATTCAGATTAACTCCTAGGCAGATTTGTGACTGAAGCTGCTTCCTGGCAGTCAGCATTTTAGAAGTATTTCCTGCTTTTGGAAAGATCTTTGAGTAATCCCAGGGGAGACTGTGGACCCTGGACAGGAGGTGGACAGGAAAGAAGAATTGGAAGTGGAGCAGAAACCAAGCAGAAAGCCAGAGGACATTCCATGCAGAGCACTCATACTTTGCTATTAATAAGAATGTCATTAAGTGCAGTACAAATGGTAAAAATTATGGCTTTCAAAAATAGCTAAAGAGTAGTATTTTGCTGCTATTTTGCATTTTCTAAAAACGGATTAAAATTATTCATGTGTCTTGACTCAGGTAATAGCCAGTATTTCACATTTGTGGAGTAAACCCCTTTGTCTGGCACGTGTTTAAATTCACTAATTGCAATTTAATTTCTAGAATCCTGCTACAGTGATGAGATTACTAAAAGATGGGCTAGTTCTTGGTGGTGCAGGGAGATTGTTGGATTGCCTTCACAACCAAGGGGATTTGGATCACACTTCAGAAGGGCTGAAAAGCAAGCTGAAGCAAGTCATCAAGTTGGGGGAAATACTGGCCTGTTTTGAAAAGTGAGGAGAGAAGATGTCACTGCTTTTTGGAGGAGGCAGATTCCACTGAAAGCAGAATTAGAGTCATGGTGCTGATGGATGTTGCTTAAGAAGTTTGCATCAAATTTCCTTTAAGCTGCACCAAATTTCCCTTTTTTTTTTGTTATGTGCTAATTTATTGTAGACA